AACTATGCCACCTGGACTCTCTCAATAAAAGTCTCATTAGCTGCTATTGTCTGTAAGTGTGATTATTTTCTATTATTAAAGTGTATATATATAAAGCTACATGGATATATATAAATTATATATCCTCACACTATATTTTTATATATGCAGATATGAGATGACAGAACTCAGAAAGAGAAAAGATAAAAATGTTGATTTTGTTGATCCAAATGTCTTATTCAAATACCCTAATCCCCCGCCTCAATGAAAAGCTGAACTCGAGAAAAATCTCATGAGGTTCTTAGTGAACCAACAAAACAAGGACATACTCTTCCCCTACAACTTCAAGTGAGTGTTAAATAATTAATGTCGATCATATGAACATTTCTTCAATTATTTGCTTACTAGCTAAGCTATCTCCCATATATATATATATATATATATATATGCAGCAATTACTGGATATTGATGGTCATCGATATGGCCAATAGTCGGTTGAGCATCTTAGACCCGTTAAGAAAAGAGCAAACAGAGTACCAAGACATGATAGATATTATTCAAGGATAATTTGGTCTCTCTAGCAACTATATATACCCCGATCTCTTAACCGCAACAATTATTAAAGACTAAATTAATTTTTTATTTTATTGGGCGCAGTGTTTGGAAAAGTTTCATTGAGGAACACCACATGAAACATTGCAAAGCGCCACTGTATGTAATCGCACACAAAGTAAGTACTAGCTACATTTATATATATATAATTCAATTAACACCATACATGCTTTCAATTCACCGGATCTTTTTTCTCGTAAAAGTGGGTTCTGAGGCAAGAATATGGGACCAACTACTACGGATACTATGTTTGCGAGTTCATCATGGCGTACTCAAAAAGAACTCCTGAAGAGATCCTCAAAGTATGTTATATAAATATATTCATATATTCACAATTTCTTTTATTGCTCATATATATAAGTAATCACGTGACCAACACACACACATATATATATATATATATTAATACTTTTCCTTTAACTTTTATTGAAGACTCTATGGTTGAAGGAAAAAGTCATACGACGTGACCTACTAAAAGCAATTCAAGAGACCATAGCAGGATTTCTTAATGACCAGGTCTTAAATCCCGCCGACGAGTTCTACAATGACATGAACGAAACATGGAAGCCAAACCAGATGGAGCGAATTTGTTATCCCAAGGATATGATAGAATATACAATGCAAGCTTTATTTGTATATATATATATATACATATTATATGTACATAAAATAACATAAAATATATGTATATGCATGTAATATATACGTTAGTTTTATACTTTAGTTTGTACAAAATGTTCAAACATTATAAACATGTAGAATACGTATATTATTAACAGCGTAGAATGCGTATTCGAAAACCTATTCAAAAACCAAAACGAATCATCAATTGAAAATAGAAACAAAAAAAGAAAAAAAAGAAGAAACCCTTTAGTCCCGATTGGTAATAACAACCGGGACTAAAGGGCCGGCCCACGTGGCCAGGCCGGGAGACCTCTTTAGCCCCGGTTCGTAGGGACTAAAGGAGAGGCCCTTTAGTCCTGGATTCGTGCTCCCGGTTGGGAAACCGGGACTGAAGGATTTCCCAACCGGAGTACAGCTTTGTTTCTGTACTAGTGGTATGTATACGTACGTAAAATGATGCGTCGAATTAAAGTGGTTTGGTTTTTGTTGGAGGGAACTACTAGCTAGGGAATTGAAGCATGCATGCATATGTATGATGGCTTCCTTTTATAGTTCGTTACCCCATATGTAATGTGTTGTCTGAAAAAGTACGGTAACACAACCGGAAACAACAGATTTGCCGAGTGCAAACGTATTTTGTTCTCAGTTGAAGCCAAGCTACGTTACGTTGTTTTTAAACTTCAACTGTCGTTGATCACCGCGGTCCATATTTGAGTTCAATGCAATTTCCAAAGTTTGAAGTCGATGCAATTGTTCTAACGAAAGCTTACATATATGAACTAAAATTATAAGGTGCCTAGTGAGCTAGACCATGTCATATGAACATCCATAACTACTCTGATCCGACCGTGAAACATTGGTTTAATTTCCGCCTTTCACTACGAACGAGTCCCACGGAAATGGTTCAGATAGATACTCTCATGCATTGCCATGTTGTTTGGGTCAAAAATTGTGAATTCTCAGTCGATCTCGGCTACTGGTTGGACCAGTTCATTCGTGAATGTTTTGTACCTTTGAACGGTTCGGGTCGTATATAGTGATGAGTCCCCGCGGACTGATGATATTGATCCATCAATACAAGTTTATATATTATATGCGGCGGGCTTATAAGTTATATATATGCTGCTCTGATTTAAATTATTTATATTATTGTGGTATATATGTACGTAGCTTCCTAGAACATAGACTCTGGTTTTGTCTCCTTTATGTGAGTATATAAGCGTAAAGTGTGAGCACCATTTCTTAGTTTTGGACATTGAGGTCTTTTTTTTAGACGAAAGAGGAATTATATTAGATTATAGTTTGATACATCCTTACGTTACAAACACTCTAAAATACACTATTTGTCCAGAAACTTATTTTCATCTAAATTGTACCCACATTGTGCATAGCTCCAAATCTCAAATCCAAACCTGCATAACGCTTCGTATGGATGGCTATATAGGCAAACACTAGTCAAAAAGACCGAGAACAGATGCCCAACGAACGACGGCCAACATTGCTGTAGGCGGACTTAGAAAGTTCTTCTTTCTTGTGTATTCGTTGTTCTTCCTTCTGCCACCGAAAAATGAGGAAGACTGATCTGAAACTTATTCTCCCTAGTCCTTCATCATGGCCAGATCTAACCACAGTAAAACAGAGAAGAGACCGGAGAAAATTATTCTATGGCGGCGACATCATCTCCGCCTTGATGTCACTGTTCGGAAAGAAAAGTCTCCATGTCGTTATGCCGAGGAAGTTGTTGACACCGTAGTTGTCGCCCTCACCTTCAACAGAGCTGCTATGGAGAAAACGAATCCACCATGTCTCCTCGTCGTCGCTGAAGAGGAGGAGGAGATAAATCCCCAGTACCAAGAAACTTGGTACGAAGAGACCCTAACCCTAAGGACTCGATCTAATAGAAAAACTTATTAAAAAAAACGATGGTTCGCCCACTCCCTTCGGCCTCCAGCGAGATACTGGAGGGGAAGCGAGGGGGACCAGCGGCGATGGAGGCGCGGGGGGGGGGGGACAGAGGTGGCTCAATTTTGGACATTGAGATCTAACCACAGTTTTGGACATTGATGTCATCAAACTATACATGTTACAAATACGAACATGTTTATGAATTTAATATTGAAACGAGAAAATCTTTTTCCTAGGATTTTCGTCTGTTGCCTAGCCCACTTATCGGCCTAATCACCGCCTTGCCTTTTTTCAATGTCCGTCAACCCAACCTCCCGCTCGCCCTTTCTTCTTCGGTTCTTCCATTGGCACACTCCTAGAGCTGCGATCGGATAAGCACAACATGCCCAACCAATGCAGCCTCTCATGTCTTACTATTAGCGTGTGTTTGGTTTGAGGGTTGAACTGGGTTAGTTGGATCAAGCCCTTTTTTAGAGGTGTTTGGTTTGGATTCCAAATTAAGGGTTGAGTTCATCCCAGTAGGGAAAATGCCCTTAATATGCGGGATCGTCTGATTCCTCCAAAATGGAGAAACCGATCCAACCCACTTCGTTTTCCTCAAACATGTGGGCAAGTGCTTTAGGCCTGAGCTGCGAGGGCACGATGCTTGAGGCTCCACGGGCGAGGTCGAGGCGGAGTTTCGGAGGCGATAGCGGTCGGAGTTCGGCAAGGTCAAGTGAGCTCTCGGTGGCGGGGCGCGCGATCACCCCAAGCGGTGTATGGGAGCGAGCTCATGGTGGAGCGGCGGCACGGTGGTGCTTTGAGCCATAGTATCGGGATGAAGCAGTCGCACGCGTCATCTCAAGCAGAAGCGGTATCGAGCGAGGAGCCGGTGGCGTTTGCGTGATTGCGTCGGGAGAGAAGAAAGGTAGGGGAATAAGGAAGAGAAAGAGAACGGTAGGGGCCCACAAGCCAGAATCCGCAACCCACATCCATTTGCCTTCGAACCAAATAGAAATCTAGGATAACTCCATCCCTCTAACCAAACATGAGATGGATAAAGGTGAGGTGAAACCAACCCATTTCACTTGGTTCCAAACCAAACACATGCTAACTGAGCTGCGAGCTCCATGGGCCAATGCTAAAACTAGTCTCTCTGGGTCACGCGCAGATGACATGATGGCATTAACGGTAGGCACTTCACTTGAGAGTTGAGACGAGGGTTTTAGATGTATTCTTTTTCTATCGTAGTCTTATGAGGATAAACATGGATGCTCTATTACAGCCTGCAATTATTAATAGTAAGGAAAAGAAACAGAGACAACGAAATATCATCTTTTTCAATAAAGACATTAAATATTTGGAGAAAGAATACAATCATAGGTGCAATTGGGACCTTTATATATTATTGTAAGCCTAAAATCAATAATCTAAGTTGTTGCCTTGTATCACCAAGCTAATAACTGACGGTGCAACAACTTGCTGATTGCAAGTCGAGCTATGTCAGAGGTTGCTTTATTCTCGCAAATTGTCTGTTCTAACTAAACCAAATATCTTATCGTCTGCGATGTTCTGCGTGTCTTTGGCTTGATATTTTACACAACTTCCTTTTCTTTTGCAGAAGAAGGCCGTAGCAACCTCACATTGTTCCCAGCCCAACACGATCGAGTATGACTTGGCCTTAGAATGGATGCTTCTTCGGGAAAGGCAAGACCAAAGTTTCAGAATACTTCACAAGGTAGACAGTTCTGTTAAAGATTTGTATCAGGAATAAAAAGCACTGATCAGGACGATTGCTGCATCAGAAGCTAAAATCAGCAGAATTCCTCAACAACGCGGGGCATGTTGGGTTGCAAGGGATTAATTCCCCAAGTGGAACCAATCCAGGGTGGGATTGAGCCATGGGTATCTGCTTTCCATGCAGAGTAAATGCGCAGCCAATCTTATCTTACAGGGGAATGCAGACCAGGCCTCACTCTAGAGAAGTGGCTTGATTCCAGGCGGCGGTGAGGGGGCTTCACAGGGAGCTGGTGGAGAAGTGGTCTAACTGAACACGCCGGGAGAAGTGGGCTAACTGAACTCGCATTTTAGGGAGGAAACCCAAAACCAAGGTGGAAAAACAAGGGTTCAGCAGAGCGGAATAGGACTCCCCACAGTGGCACTAGCATGGCCGTGATTGCTGAACGCAGAATATCCCCCAATTAGGGCCGATCCCCAGCTAGAGCAGCGGATCAAGCTGGGGAGCGAGTTCCCCGATCCCGCAAACCCCGCGCGTGCGAGATCTCAATTCCAGCAGCAACGGCCTGGATCCCGCCGTCCCGAACCCACGGGCGCCAAGCCAGGGACGAGGGGGGTAAAAAAAGCAAAGGGAGCAGAGCGAAGAAGCATGTGTACGATACGATCGAGATCGCGCGAGCGCTCACCGCCCAAGCCCGAAGAGACTCATCCCTCCTCCTCCGCCTGCCCTCCCTCGATCCGGCGCGCGGCGGAGCAGTGGCGGAGAGTGGAGACGGCGACGGCTGGACCTGCTGCTGCTTTTGGCGAACGCAGCGAGGGACTGCGAGGAGCCGAGAGGACGGAGCCCGAGGTGGGAGGAGGGCTGGGTTGCTCCTGACGAGAGCCAGATGTGAAATGATTGGGCTCGCTCGTCAGAGGCGGCGTGGGCCGGCGCAGCGAGGCGCGGCGGGAGCGCCGTCGGATGGAGGGGACGGACGGCGGATGGAGGCCGCCTGGCTGGCATCCATCATCCCCCGGGCCCCGGGTCAGATCAAGATCCACTACTCCTGCAGTCCTGCGTCGCGTCGCAGCTCGCCACCGCGCGGGTCGCGGCTCCTGCCACGTGCTCTACGCTCTCCAGGCTCCCTCCTCCCACTGTAGCACACTCGTGCACGGGTGCACCGTGCACAGGGACCATTACCTATTTTTTCCAACCCCCTTCCGCGCCTCCCAATTCCTATCGCTCTCTGATGCCTCAATGCTCATGTACGAAACTTGGCATCTGACGCCTTATTTAGTTGGACCCCAAAGCTTAAAAAAAGTCATATCGATGCTATATCGAATGCTTACTACCGCCGCACGCGTGGGCGTTAAATGTGTATTTAAAATAAAAACTAATTGCACAGTTTGGTGGGAAATTGCGAGACGAACGTTTTGAACCTAATTAGTCCATATTTGAACACTATTTACCAAATAAAAACGAACGTGCTATAGTAGCCCAAAATTCAAATTCACCCAACTAAACAACAAGGGCTGATTTTATTTGTCGTATTTTTTGGTGTGTGCGTTCCGGAGGCTCCTAGGCGACAGATCGCCCTTCACGCAGCAGAGCTGGCAGGGGGATAGCCTGGACCGCGACGAGGAGAACAGCAGGATTCAACGTAAGGTTTTGGTTTCATCATTAGGCTAAAATGCTTTCCATTCCTGGGATCGCGCGTGGTGCTGATCTCGCAGTGGCGTGTGGTTCTGCAGACCTGGCGGAGATAGCTAACTTCCTGGGCATCACACCTTCGGTGGACACCGAGGCGATTCAGGTGATAGAAATGGCTGGCCTGTGTGTGTTATGTGTTACATTTGCTGGATTTTATGGTGCTATAGTCATGCAAGATGCCAAGATGTCAACCACAGCACAATGGCAATTGCAAACTGAGATGTATGGTGTGTCATCTTTCATCGGTTCATAACGGTCGTTGTTGCAGGGTCGAGGTAGCTATGAGGAGCGGGTGGAACTGCTCCATCTTATTGTCGACCTAGTGGAAGCTAGTTGCTACGCTGACAATCCAGAATGGAGGTTGGGTTTACACACAATTATTTGTATCTGAAATAAAATGTACCTACTATGTTGATTATACAATAGATATTATACATAAAACTTGTGCAGCTTGTGATAAAACTTTCTTCCAACATCGTAATGTATGATGCCAAATGAAATCTGTTTACACAGAAAAGTATTGTGTTAATTTGCATATGAGGTGGGTACCTAACATAAAGTACTGAGAACAATTTGTACTGTTGTAGTGTTGATAAGCAATTGGAGAAGGATGTGCAACTCATAGATTCTATTGCTGAGAAACAAGCCCAAATTTTTTCAGAGGAGTGCAAACTTTTCCCTGCAGATGTCCAAATACAATCAATTTACCCCTTGTAAGTACTTCCAATTTAAATCAATGCCAAATGTCCTGTCTAGCTGCTTCATGTGCCTGCAGAATTGCTCCAATGGTCTGAATCTTTGTGGACGCCCTGTGATCCTCAAATAACGAAATTGTTCAAATCACCTCAAATTTTCTAATATGAATTCAATTCTGGTTTCGTAGGCCTGATATCGCTGAATTAGAGTTGAAGCTCTCGGAGTATACCAAAAAGATGTCCAATCTGCAGCAAATGGTTCAGGAATTAGCATCGAAGGTATAATAGAATATACAATTGTACATATGTTTCAAGTTCAGGAATTAATGCTGGTTTATGTTTGAATGGAAACTTGGAGAAACTTTTTCTGCACTAGCTTCACAGTTTTCTTCCTTTTGAATTTTATAAAGGTTGTGCATTAATTATCAAAGGCAGAGCTAATTGTGACTTCTTGTCCGTTTCTTCACACCCCAACCTGCATGCTAAAGTTTTTTTTTTATATATTTTCACAGTTGTATGTTATCTTTCAGAGCATGCAACCATTTAGCTTAATTTTTATAATGAATTACTTTCTGATACAATACATTCTGATTTTTTCTGTGTATATGATGCTGTTTGTTGTTCTTCCCTTAGTAGTCAGTATCATGCTATTTTAAGTTAACTGTGTAGTTGCTTGTGACAGTATGATTATAATCCAAATGAAGACTATGCCGAGACAGAGTTGAAGTTGAGGGAACACTTGAAATCATTTTTGGAAACGGTTAAATCCTTCAGCACAATATATACTAAGGTGAATATCTTATGCAGCAATTCCTATTTTCCCCATATCTTGTTTATATACACTGGATATGTATAATATTTTCTGTTGGTGATTATTAATTTTAAGTGCTGAATATCTGTATAATAAAGGTGATTTGAATTACCATGATATAGGAAATCCATCCTTGGACCCACATGATGGAAGTGCCACAATTGCATGGCTTCGGTCCAGCTGCTAACCGCCTCTTGGAGGCATACAATACCCTTTTAAAGGTAATTTTGGAATGTCCACTTCACTAATTGGTCATGTTGTTCATTTCTTGGTACTTTACTATCACTGACCTGCATACTGTGACATGGTTAGCCGATGGACAGTGTAACCAACAGGAATAAAACAGAATGTGTTTCTGCTGGAAATTGAGAACTAATTTGACCTGCTTTGAATAACTACAGCTCCTGTGCAGTTAGTGAGCATTGAGCACCATATCTCTACAATACTATATCTCTTGAAATGCCCTGCCTTGGAATTGTATGACCTCGTGTAATTCTGCTCCATCTTGACAATACCATATCTCTTTACCGTTAGTGGGCATCTTCTCAGGATCTTTCATTCCATGCTCTCTCCAATTAGATAGCGCACTGTGTTGTGTCTTTTGGGTGCCTGTTTCTAACCCACAGAACATGCCTTTTGACCTGGTTATTTATCTGTGACTTTTCAGTTCCTGGGGAAATCTGAGGAGTCTCCGAGATTCATACACTGCAATGGCTGCTGGTTCATTGTCGGCTTCTAATGAGCCTTCATCTGTGACCAAGATTATTTCAGACTGCGAATCTGCACTGACCTTCTTGAATCACAGCCTTTCCATCCTTTCCACTTCTGTGGCACGTGAGCAGGGGGAAACACTATGAGTTTACAGTATTTGGATACCAAGATATAGTTTCGAGGAATTTATGTATGCAACCTTGCAGTGATTCAGTTGTTTGCTTCCTATTAAAAAAATCAGTCATTTGCATTTTAGTTTCTTCTGATGCATACACCCTCCATTCCAAATTATAACTAGTTCTGCCTTTTCTAGATATATTATTTTTACTATACATCTATAGGCTATGTCTAGATACATAATAAAAATTATTTATCTAGAAAAAAACAAAAATGACTTATAGTTTGAAACGGAGGGACTAGTAAAGCTTTTGACCTCTTTCAAGTCTAGTTTGTAACACTTACTAAACATCATCCTTGATAAGTTGTATCTAGAGTTCTTCTCGAGTTTGTGCCGTTTCTGTATATGTAATTATGTATGTGCTTTTATCCTTGATAAGTTCTCTTGTTGATCGAATATTCTGGATTTAAAGATAATTCCATATATTATATTTCTAGTGAAATTCACTTTGTCGAGGAACACTCCGAAACATAATATTGCAGTTGTTCAAGATTTTAAGGCCGCTTATATGTGGCTCACAGGCTTAGCAAATACAGTCCGACGTTTCAAGCAGTTTGGTTTACAGTTTTCACCTAAATGTGGCATGCACTAGTCTAGGCAAATTTTGGTCACCAGACTATGGTTTTGATCAACTTAGGCCACCAAAATGATTTAAGATGGTCAAATGGAAAAACTACCGAGCTAAATTTTGGCATTAAACTCAATGGAAGCCCATTTTGGTCAAAGTAGCCAAATTTTGGTTTGTATCCTTGGGTACACATGGGTAACCAACCACAAGCACCCGAGCATGTCCCGCCTACGGGGCCATCTGAGGCTTGCACTATTGTTTACGATTATTATGCTTATAATATAGTTATACTCCCTTGTCCTCAAATAAATCAATTCCTAAAATTCGTGTCAGTCGAATTATCTTAAGTTTGACTAACTTTATATAAATGAGTAATAACATCTATGATATAAAATGAGCATATTATGAAAATATATTCTATGGTATATCTAATGATACGAATTTTTCTAAAAATTTAGTCAAAGTTTAAAAAAATAATTTAAGACCACTCTACGAATATATTTATTCACGAACACATAGCGAAGTATTAGAACATCGTCCCCATTTAGGCACAGATAGAGGAATCCGAAACGGACGCACATTTACACAAGTTTGTTCTTAGACATTACGCTCTTGTTTAGTTCGCGAAATTTAGATTTTGGAGATACTGTAGCACCTTCGTTTTTATTTGGCAAATAGTGTTCAAACATGGACTAATTAGGCTCAAAACGTTCGTCTCGCAATTTTCCACCAAACTGTGCAATTAGTTTTTCTTTTCGTCTACATTTAATGATACATGCACAGGCCGCAAATATTCAATGTGACAAGTACTATAACAACTTTTTGAAAATTAAGGTGGAACTAAACAAGGCGTACATCGACATCATAGGTTGTACTAACTTTAATCCGGTGAGCGGCTCATGTCTGAGGGCTTACCTATGCTTCACCCTCGCGTACCGCCCCAACTTTCGCGTCTGCGTTCGGCAACCATGTCATATCACTTGGTGGTAATCTCGCAAGACGTTAGGTATGCTTGCAGAGACAAAGATGCCCTCGCCTGATTGAGGTAGCCTCTGAGGAGAGCGTTGAAGCGAATAAAGTGCTCCACGATGACGTCACATCTTCAAGGGCTTGCCCGTGCTCAGGCAAGGCAAAAAGCCAACCAACGGTGCCTACGTAGTAGCACTTGGTGAAAGCAATGACTAAGTGAGAGAGAGAGAGAAAGAGGTAGAGGGCAGTAGGGGACCAGAAATAGCATTGCAGAAGTGAACACACTTAGCGCGTGTTTAGTTTTCACCATAAATTACTAAAAAGTGCTACAGTAGTCATCACATCGAATCTTACGATACATGCATGAAATATTAAATGTAGACGAAAAAAAACTAATTGCACAGTTTAGTTGAAAATTACGAGACGAACGTTTTGAGCCTAATTAGCCCATGATTGAACACTAATTGCCAAATAAAAACGAAATTGCTACAGTAACCAAATTTCAAACTTCCCCAACCTAAACACGGCGTTACTCCCTCTGTTTTATAAGGTAGTGTATTCCAAAACATTTAATACGACGTTATAAACCCCCCGTTATATAGCACAATGCATTCTAAAACTTATTAAACGAACACTCAATGACGCATTGTACCCATGCATTAAACCTGGCTAAGGAGTTTGGCCCTGTTCGTTTCTCTTATAATCCGTACTTTTCAGCTTGTTTTTTTTTCAGTCGGAACAGTGTTTTTCTCTCACAACAAATCAGGCGGAACAATGTTTCGGTTTGTTTTTTCAACGAAACGAACGGGGCCTTTATCATCAAATTATGGTTTCCTTTTAAAAAAAACTTTGCTAGACTTGAGTATGGGCACCACATAGAGTGCTTTATATTTCAGTAAAAAATTTTAAAAGCTATAATACACTATACTACGGTACGGAGGAGTAGCTCTAAGCTTCTGAATTTTATTATATGATTAGAATAAAAACTTGATTTTCTTTATCTATTATAATAGAAAAAACAGCTCAACCATATAACCTTGGAATACTTTGATATAGGAATATTCTGTTCCAAGATATATACAAAATTCCTTATAGATTGAGCTATGACAAATGTGGTTCTATTGTTTTTTTTTTTTTTTTTGCCTATGACTTCATATCCAACCATAAAATTATTGTTTTTTGCAACACTGTTACTATAGTCGCGGGTGATATTTAGAGTATACATAGATATCTTTACATGTATCCAGAAGTATTTTTTCGATCCGAGATTAACCCCATTTCTATTCATTAGACAGAAATACTAGTGTCTATATATATATATATATATATATATATATGTCTAGAATATAATACAACGGATCAAGATAAGATTGATGACGTGTTTGGTTACACGCCATGGTTAGCCACGCCGTTTCAGCAGCGCCACAATTGTGTGGCGGGAAGAATGACCGCCGCATGTCTCACCTTCGTTACGGACAAAACGACAAGCCACGGGAGCTGGCGGCTAAAATTTACACGGCAACCAAGCAGCGGCCAAAGTTGCCGGACTTTTTTTGCGTGGCAAGTTGCCCCGTGCAACCAACACATGCCCTTGAGTATACAACCAAATAGGTTGGGCATCCGGTGCATATTATTTGACCATCGGCCAAAAGTTTCGTACATGAGGATTGAGGCATCAGAGAGCGATAGGAACTGGGAGGCGCGGAAGGGGGTTGGAAAAAAAAAAGGTAATGGTCCATGTGCACGGTGCACCCGTGCACGAGTGTGCTACAGTGGGAGGAGGGAGCCTGGAGAGCGTAGAGCACGTGGCAGGAGCCGCGACCCGCGCGGTGGCGAGCTGCGACGCGACGCAGGACTGCAGGAGTAGTGGATCTTGATCTGACCCGGGGCCCGGGGGATGATGGATGCCAGCCAGGAGCAACCCAGCCGTCCGTCCCACCATCCGGGCCCCGCGCCTCGCTCGCCGGCTCCGCCGCCTCGCGAGTCCCTCGCTCGTCAGCCAAAAGCAGCAGCAGCAGCAGCAGTCCCTCGCTGCGTTCAGCCAGCAGCAGGTCCAGCCGTCGCCGTCTCCACTCTCCGCCACTGCTCCGCCGCGCGCCGGATCGAGGGAGGGCAGGCGGAGGAGGAGGGATGAGTCTCTTCGGGCTTGGGCGGTGAGCGCTCGCGCGATCTCGATCGTATCGTACACATGCTTCTTCGCTCTGCTCCCTTTGCTTTTTTTACCCCCCTCGTCCCTGGCTTGGCGCCCGTGGGTTCGGGACGGCGGGATCCAGGCCGTTGCTGCTGGAATTGAGATCTCGCACGCGCGGGGTTTGCGGGATCGGGGAACTCCCTCCCCAGCTTGATCCGCTGCTCTAGCTGGGGATCGGCCCTAATTAGGGGATATTCTGCGTTCAGCAATCACGGCCATGCTAGTGCCACTGTGGGGAGTCCTATTCCGCTCTGCTGAACCCTTGTTTTTCCACCTTGGTTTTGGGTTTCCTCCCTAAAATGCGATTTCAGTTAGCCCACTTCTCCCGGCGTGTTCAGTTAGACCACTTCTCCACCAGCTCCCTGTGAAGCCCCCTCACCGCCGCCTGGAATCAAGCCACTTCTCTAGAGTGAGTCGTGGAACCAAATCCTGCCTGAAATCTACAAGATGGCATGCATGGGAGGCATGGTCTGCATTCCCCTATAAGATAAGATTGGCTGCGCATTTACTCTGCATGGAAAGCAGATACCCATGGCTCAATCCCACCCTGGATTGGTTCCACTTGGGGAATTAATCCCTTGCAACCCAACATGCCCCGCATTGTTGAGGAATTCTGCTGATTTTAGCTTCTGATGCAGCAATCGTCCTGATCAGTGCTTTTTATTCCTCTGGCAGGAACCAGAAGACATTCCGTCCCAAGAAGAGTGCTCCATCAGGCAGCAAGGTAAGAATTTCGACTTCCCAGTTCCCTCTTTAAGTACTAGTTATTACTAGGTACCAGCAACAACTGCCTGTACTTGTGCCCATTGTTTGGCGTGCTGCGTAGCATGCAAAGTGCGTTTCATGTGTGGTGGCCGTTGCCTTGCTGCTCTGGATCATCAATCAAAATTTGATGTGTCCAGGTGATCATGCATCAGAGCCACCTGGCTAAGCACTATTGTTGCAACCGGTAGGACCATGATTGATGACTGAACATGCGAGCAATGTATCTAGGTGCCAATTTGTTGCAATCTCTAGTGATTTGTTTGGCCATGCTACATCCAGGATTTTAATCAGTTGTCATGAACTGTTTAGGGGGCATGCAGATGCAGGCTATTCTTGTCACTGAAAAGTATGTGATAGAGCTTGTCTGCTAGTGCAATTAGTCTGGTTAGAACTTTGGGTTAAACTTCAGGAGTATGAATTGGTGATCGATCTTATCAGAGTGTTCAGGAAGTAGACAGACTTTAAGTTATCTGTTTTGGCTTTAGTCTGTCTGTTCTGGCCATGTCCAGAACTAAAGGATATCTTGCTCGGTTGACATTCTTGTTGGCTATTGCGAAGAGCTCTGTTTATCACTGCACATTTGTTAACATAAGTGACACAAGCAGTTTTGTTGGATTGCTTTATTCTTCCATCTATTCCAAGACACTCTGTACTAAACATTTTGAAACACTGATAACAAGATTCCCTTTGCTGCTTATCATGTGTCAATTAAATCCAGTACACAAATACTTTCAGTGAAAGGTCTAACAAACATTGCTGTCCCACATCTATGGTGGTAGTATTTATATAGCCAATGAATCCTTTGCGAAACTATGTAGGATGCTTATTTAGCATTGAGTGGTGTTAATGAAGGACTTGCAGCAGTTATTTCTAGCACATTCAATCTTCAGTACATTCCATGGCTCTTAAATCACCTGTGATGAGCAAACTTTCTAGATTTTCCTATACACTGTCTTCAAATCTTGCATGTTTTATTTGCCACTAGAAATAAGCAGGTATCGATTCATAAATTACAATGTGAATAGTGTGATGCTTAACTTGACCTTTTCTTTCTGTCTGCAGGGAGCGCAGCTCCGAAAGCACATAGATGCCACTCTCGGCAGTGGAAACCTTAGGGAAGCTGTGAGGTTGCCTCCTGGAGAGGATATCAATGAATGGCTTGCTGTGAATAGTAATATTCTTCCCTTTCGTTTGCAGTTTTCACCTAACTCTGTTGTTCCATTGAAGCTAGCATGTTTGTTTTGCTTTGCAGCTGTGGATTTCTTTAACCAAGTTAATCTGCTGTATGGCACACTCACAGAATTCTGCACACCTGAGAGCTGCCCGACAATGACAGCTGGCCCAAAGTGAGCCTTTACAAATTTTCATACATTCTATTCTTTTGGATTGTCAAAATACAACATGGTGAAAATTATCCAAAAAGTTTGTCAGTGACTAGTTTATTTGAATAATTGTAATTTTGTGTACGGTGAACTGTTTCACCAAGGCTGCTATTGAATGATGACTCTTAGAGGCTAAGTGTCTCCTTGCTAAGTTGCTATTTGCTATTATATCTTGACTAGTGACTCATTTTTCTGGCTTCATAGGGACATGAAGTCTTTGAAACCAATTAATCTCTTTTTGTAGAAGACTAGAAGCTATACATAACTATTAATTGTTAGGGTGTCAGAGCTTAGAATTATGATGATGTACTAGCTCAAAAGTTCAATATTAGTGTACCTAAAAAATGTATGCCTCATGGTTACCTTTTCTTAATTGCACTTGTATTTCTCTGCAATGCAAGGCCATGCTCATTTTCACATGCTGTTCTAGTGTAATATGAATCTTGATAATGGATAGTCCAGGTTATGCCTCTTTTTGAGAGAAGAAAATTTTGAAAAAGGACTTTGTTTGTGGCCATGCCTATTGTGGTGCTAAGCATTTAACAAGTTAGCATATTCTTGGAAACTAGTTTTTATTTAGATCATACCATGACAGACAGACAGAGCAAACATGAGGATTATGCAGGTATGAGTACAGATGGGCTGATGGTGTGCAGATAAAGAAACCCATAGAGGTATCCGCACCAAAATATGTGGAGTATCTGATGGATTGGATTGAAGGCCAGCTTGATGATGAATCCATATTCCCTCAAAAACTTGGTATGTTGCTTTTTATTGTGGATTTGTGGAGCTCTCTTAGTTTCTTGTGAACACCTGACATCGGATGCAATCGAGCATGTTATCTGATTTGGATTTCGTTTCTGTCAAGGCACACCATTCCCGCCAAACTTCAAGGAAGTAGTAAAGACAATATTCAAGCGCTTGTTTCGTGTCTATGCCCACATCTACCACTCTCATTTCCAGAAGATTGTTAGCCTTAAAGAGGAGGCCCATCTCAATACCTGTTTCAAGCACTTCATTCTGTTTACAAATGTAGGTCCCATCATTCATGACAATTGCTTTTTATACAACACAATTACATACCTACATTCTTGGCCAGGAAAAAAGGAAAATGGCAGCAGTTAACGTTCTTTGGTGTTTGTGCTGCAGGAGTTTGGCCTGATTGACAAGAAGGAGCTGGCTCCACTCCAGGAGCTCATCGAATCCATCATCGTTCCTTACTGAGAATACACTGTACTAAACATGGATACAGAGCTCTCAATGCTGATGGCTGTGAAATTTAGTCTGTTTGCGACAATACTTCACTGCATAGAGCTTATTGTTCCAGTTATTAGACATAAAAGGGCATGTGACATTGCTAATGTTATATATGTGTTTGTACCTGTGTGTTTCTTCCTGATCATGTATTGGCCATGTAAGTGTGCCTGTTATCAGCTATAGAACGGTGGTGATGATGTACTGCAGAAAGAAAAACACAAGAAAGCTGTGTTGGATTAATGTATGCAGTGTTTGTTTCCTCCTGGTTATGTGTTACCGTCAGTTTGTCAACTTATTTCCAAAAACTCCCACTGGCTAAATTGTAGACCGTTTCAGTTTTGTCCGAAGTCAAAACTTGTTCAATTTTGACTAAGTTCATGGACAAATATTGTTGACATTTACAAAACCATATAAATAAATTGTCAATGCATATTTCAAATTTGATTTAATGAAACTTTTTTGATGTGCTAGATGTTGATCAGATTATGTTAGTTTGGTTTAGGAGAAAAATAAAATGACATCCGATTCGGATCTAAACCTTCCTCAGAACTATAAACTTCCTCAATTTGGAACTATTAAGCAAGTATGTATCGTTTCCATAATCTGAACCTTCATCTCTGGTAGAGAATCCAATGAAAAACGACATGGAAGCTGACAATCTAATGAAAAATGACATGGATACTGCAATAGAACACATGAAAGAAATGCCATGTTGCTGTAACAAGACATGCCATTTCTGCTCTGATCACAAACATGTCATTTCTGCTCTGATCACAATAACACAAACATTAGGAAGACATTAGGATGATCACAATAACACAAACATTAGGAAGACATGTCATTTCTGCTCTGATCACAATAACACAAAAATAAGGAAGACATGCCATTCTGCTCTGATCAAAATAACACAGCAGACACCAAGGTTCATACTAGAGGCAATAACACAACACATGGCATGGCACCACAGAAGCTTCGATTGGTGCAGATGGTACTACTGGTGCTACCACGAGGTGCGGTAGGCGGGAGCAGAACGGACGAACGCGACGCTGCTTCTCCTCCTGCTGAACACAAAAGCTACTGATGGAGCATGGCGGCGAAGCACGGGGCAGGGGCACTAGACGCGGCCCTCCCAGAGGGAGGGCTGGTCATCGGTGCAGAGGGCGAGGAGCGCCGGCGGCGGCGCGAGGCCGAGCGCGGCGGCGCGGCGCCAGCGCTGGGCGCGGGTGACGCCGAGGCACGGCCCGTAGCGCATGTCCATGTCGAACTCGCGGGCCGCCCGCTCCCGCTCCTCCTGCTGGAGCCTCGTCGAGTCGGCGCCGGCGCCGGCGCCGTGATCTGCGGTGACGAGAGACGAGTCAAATCGATCGATCTGACAGTGGTGCCGCGGAAGAGGAACAGCGATCGGGGGGATTCGGGACCGGGAATAGTACCTGGGGCCGGGTGGACGTGGACGGCGGGAGCGGCCTTCTGGTGGTGTTGCGCCGCCGCCGCCTTCTTGGAGACGCCGCCGGTGGGCTTGGTTGCGGCCCCGGCGCCGGCGTGCGCCTTCTGCTGACGGAAGAAAGACTTCATGTCGCCTCCGCCGCCCCTCGTCATGGCTTCGGCGGGCGATCTCTCTCCTGCGGAGCTGGTGGTGGGGTTGGGATGAATGGGGATTGGAATGCGGCGGCAGAGGAATGAATGGGGGATGACTGGATGGTGAGGGGGTTGCTGTTTATATACGGGATGCGAATGGCTACACGAGACGGCGCTGCGGCCGTTGTGAAAGGCGATTCGAATTTTTTTGAATTTTTGAAATTGGCGTTGCGGGCGTCGTGCCATACGGTTCCTTCTCCGAGAATCCACTCACATCCGGCCGGCCGTCCGTGCGTCGTGGGCTCGTGGCTGCAAAGTGGAACCACCTGCTCGCTGCTGCTCCAAGAGAATCCTGTTCATACTGTTCCTAGTTTCTGTCGACATTGTACATTGTTCAGCTCATACAATACTCTATCCGTTATTCGATAAATTGATTTTTAGAGTTATTTTAAAGAAATATTTAAAATTTAACCGAATTTTTAAAAAACATACAAAGATTTATGATACTAAATTAGTATCATAAAATATACCATAAAATATTTTTATTTGATGTTACTTCTTCTATAAATTTAGCTAAATCTTAAAAGTTGACTTTAGATAATGGGAAAACGGTGTTTTTGTCTTTGTCCAGAAGTTCAATTGTGATTTTATCCTTATTTTTTTCAACTTTATGATTTTATCCCTGTTATTTTGAAACGAATGAGCAGTTTGTCTCTTATTTGATGTCGGTTATTTAGAGGCTGATTAAACGATTTAAAAAAAATAAAACACATAAAATCAGATACGAAATGATTGAAATGCCCTTATCACAGTTATCCCATCCGCATGGGCAGGGCGCGCGAGGAGGCACGGCCAGCGGGTTCGCGGCAAGGCGGGCGCTGCGGTGGGTGCGGCGGCCGCGTCGGGGGCGCGGCTGGGCGGGCGCTGCGGCCGTGCGAGCTGGGTCCGTGGCCGCCGATTGCGCCGCATCCTGGCCGGATTTGGTGGAAAGGTGTGATCTCTGGCGGATTTGGGCGGGGGTATCGGTAAATTTGGGCAGGGACGGAAGGAGATTGCGGAGCAGCTTCCTGCTTCTCATCTGTATTCGATCGATTGGGATGTGGGAATGAAATACACTTTCTTGTTCTTGGGCTCTGCTGTGCTTTGTCTCCTCGGCGCTCGGCTTGCCGCAGCCGGACGCGCGGGCACGGAGGCACGCGGACGGACTCCATCGCGCGTTGGTTGAGGCGATGCGTGCAGTGCGGCGGCGCCGCTTGGCCCGGCGTGCAGGCGGGACGGACTTGCCCAGGCCATTGCAGCGAGAAGCTGCGTGCAGTGGATAAGGCTCCCGCTCCTGTGGAGATATTTTTCAGAGGAACCCGTGGAGAAGCTGCCCAGCCGGATTGGATTGAGGAGAAAGAAAAAAAAATAAGTGAGAAAGAAAATAAATTAAAAAAGAAAAGGAGAAAAAGAAAATAAAAAACAAAAGTGTATTATATTCCATCGCAATAAGCAAATAATTTTTCAAAATACAGTATATGTGTCTTATTCCAAGTTAGGGGTAAAATCACAAATAGCCCTAAAAACTAGGGGCAAAATCACAAGGACATATTTGTCCTTTGGTATAGAAGTTAACACCATTAGGGGAGGATGACGGAATATGGGCAAAGTGGTGCTTCGTTTTGAATAAGCAGAGGCAAATTCACAAAGTTAAAAAAACACAGGGGTAAAATCACAATATCGATATAAAATAGGGGTATCGATGCAAGAGCCCCTTAGATAATTATAGAAATTGATTTATTCGAAGAGAGTAGCCAGGAGTAGGCTTACTCATGGACCTGACTGTGGGCCATGATTTTTTTATGGCATGATATAACCTAAAAAACCTGACACATCGTGTGAAATCTTAAAAACCTTGAGAAATAGCGTGGCCCGACCTGCCAGCATGTTAGATCAAGCTCGGGGTAAAGATTTTGACCTGACCATTTTTCTCAGTCTAACATGATGTTTGATCAGATCTAGCTAGGAGAAGGGTGCCAAGCCGACAGTCATAAAAAAATGTCAGTACTCCACATAATTCAATCCAAAGTAAAAAAACAAAGTGTTATAAAGAAGTGGTCTAGTATTATGGACCATAATTTAATGGTATTTTTTTCTACTTCATTGATAAATAAACTAATGTCATGCCTAAACGCTTAGCACTTCGTGTACCAGAAGTCTTTTTTTAGAGATGCAAGGAGGGTTGTTCATGAACATGCAAATAAGCTAAATTTTTGCCGATTTGCAAGTAACCTGCAAAAATTTAGCCTATTTGTGGGTTTACGGGTAACCTGCCTTGCATCACTAGTCTTCTTCACCCGCTTCTCATTAAAAAAACTAATGCCATGCCAAACACATAGGCACATCTCGTATAGTCTATTTTTCACGTTCGTCTCTGCATCTCGGACAAATGGAGTAACATATGCACCCCTTAATAAATAAAAAATGAATTCAACTAAATTTCCATCATATATGTATCCCTATATGATACAAAGTCTATGAAGTCATAAGGTAAATGTCCTCTTTGCTGCAGCTTCACCATTGCGGCATTGCCCACTACTCCAATCAGCCAACGGTGACCTTGTGCCCCTAGGCCGCTTGAACCCCTTGTGCTTGCCAGGTCACTATGGATCCAACAGAGATTGACCTTAACATGGAGATGGAGGATGGAGATAATGAGGCCTCTGCCGATGAGCGACGCCCCTTCTTCCTTGCGACGGAGGCCCTCTCTTTTAGCAGGTGGAAACGTGAAACATAGCGACGTTCCTCGTTTAAAGAATAGTCATGATTCCTTTCCAGAAACAATTATGTTCCCATTCCGAGAACATCACATAGTACAATTACATTATAATGTGTATCTCCATGTTTCCGTTCTTGTTCCATGTTCTCGTTCTCTTTCCGAAACAAGGATGTTAAGGGCCCTCCTCTCCTAGCGATGATGGCGCCCCTCTCACTTCAGGCATGGTGGCCTTTTGACATACGGATCTTTACAGATATGCTCCTTGAAAAAAGTAGTAAAAAAGCCTAAATACTACATCTAGCATGAGCTTCTCCAACAAACCATATGTATGGGCAGCTGTCAAAAAAACTAGCTTATTGTAAAGCTTAAGGTGTTTCAAACATGACCATAATTTGGTTAGTGTACTTGGTAACTTGGACAAATTCATGATGCAAATGCTTACTACAAGAAGAGTGTACATGCGTACATGAGTGTTTGTGTCTAAAAAAAATTATTGTGCTTGAAGGTCACCAATGAATAGTGTCTATAACTGATTGGGATGGCATGTCGCAGTGTCTTGAGATTGCATGTCTCGTTTCATTACCCTCCGTTTCCGTTGCGTTCCATTCCATATAATAAAATTATTGTCTATTGG